AAAAAAAAAACAGAAATTGGGTATATATTAAATGAGGACATATGAAATCTGTCTTTCGTGGTCTGGTTTGCTTCACTTCATATCAAGCAAAAGATATTCATCCACTTTGTATCAAATATCAGGGTCTAATTTTTTTTATGGCTAAGTAATATTCCATAGAATACATATGCCACATTTTTTACAATACATTCATCTATTTTTGGACATTTGCATTGATTCCATTTCTTAGCAATTGTAAATAATACTGCAATAAACATGGATATGCAAGTGTTTTTCAGACTGAGGGTTTTATTATTCTTTGGGTAAATATCTAAGGGTGGAATTATTGGGTCATATGATAGTTCTGTTTGTAATTTTCTGAGGAATCTCCATATCATTTTCCACAGTGGTTCTGCTAATTTGCATTTACACCCACAGTGTAAGAGAGTTTCTTTTTCACCACAGTCTCGCCAGTATTTATCATTCTTTATATTTTTAATTTTATCTATTCTGATTGGAGTTAAGTGGTATCTCATTGTGGTGTTGATTTGCATTTCCCTTATGATAAAAGATGTCGAGCATGGTTTCATATGCTTTTTGGTTGTTCATATGTCTTCCTTGGAGGGTTGTCTGTTCAACTTATTTTCCCATCTTTTAATTGGATTGATTATTTTTTTGTGAGTAAACTGCTTGAGGTCCATGTATTTTCTGATTATCAATCCCTTATCTGAGGTGTAGTTTGCAAATATATTCTCCCACTCTGAAGGTTGCCTTTTCACTCTAACAATTGTTTGTTTTGCTATGCAGACATTTTTGCTTTTTAAACTTAAGAATATCCTTTGAATTTTTTGTAGAATAAATTTTCTTTTGTAACATTCATCATCTTATGTCACATTTTCTTTTATTATTCCTTATTCCACATGTGTTTTATGATTAAATCCTTTATTTTAACTTAATGATTATTTGATGCCATATTATAAACACATTCTTTTGTGATCACCTAAAATCATGTGCATCTTTTTCATAAGCATATTTGAGTCATTGGTTTTTACAAAAATTTAACAATAGATACCATTGATACTTTTTTCCCACTGCTTCTTTAAATATATACATCCCTCATTGTCAAACAGATCAAAACAATGAGATACCACCTAATCCCAGTCAGAATGACTAAGATTTAAAAAAAAAAATGGTAAAGGTTGGCAGGGGTGTGATCAAAGAGGAACTCTCTTACACTGCTACTGGGAATGTAAATTGGTCCAGCCACTGTGGAGAACAATTTGGAGATTCCTCAAAAATCTACAAATAGAACTACCATATGATCCAGCATTCCCACTCCTTGGTATCTACCCAACAGACAGAAGAATTCTTAATCGAAAATGTGCTTGCACATTGATGTTTATTACAACACTATTCACAATTGCTAAAACATGGAATTAATCCAAATGCCCATGAACAGATGAATGAATTGAAAAACCGTGGCATACATACTCTATGGAATACTATTCAGTCATTAAAAAAACCTGGCTTTTGACAGGAAGTGAATGAATATGGAAGATTTACTGCTGAGTGAAGCAAGCCAGGCTATGAAGGCGAGACATTGTATGTCCCCACTTAATATATACTGAGTGTCTGAACTATATGACTGAAACTGATTGATTAAAAGATATATAAACACAGTAAATGGGTGTAAATACCAGATATAGTGTGTGTGGAAGAGTAGGTAGGGTCTGAGGAAGAACATTTAGAAGAAAAATATGGAGGCAAAGCATTAATGGGAAAAAGAAATGTGGTATTATCTGTTGAAGATATTTTATAGTTTTATCAACTGAACTAGGGAGAAATGTTCACCTATTGAAATATTCACTTTGTAAGCTAAATAATGTGATTTAATGTATAGAAGAAAATAAAATAAAAAGTAAATAAAAATAGATGAGAAAAAAATTATACATATATATTTTAATATTTTATATCCAGATCTTTTCAATTTAACCTGAAATTAGAGACCTTGGTTGATATAGTTCAATAAAAATTTTAAAGTGTCTCTTTAATAATTTATTTTGTTTTTTAATCCATCTTATTGAATACAGTTGTTTTGAAAATGTTCTATTCACTTTTTTATATATTCCCTATAGTTCTCTCTTTTTAAATGTTTTTTTTTTTTTGGAGAGGTTTTTCGCTATAGGGCCTGTGCACTCGCCAGACAGACAGAGAGAGATAGAGAGACAGAAAGCAAGAAATCACCCCCCAGTGGGATGGTCACGCTGCAATCCCTTCTCCTCCATTCTCCTTTCAGGATCTTGGACACGCACGCACACACACCCGGCATGAGTTTTAAGCCACCGGGTCCGGGACGTGAACCGCGGTCGACTACGTGGGAGTCCAACGACATAGCCATTACGCTAACTGCTGGTTCCCACCCTTTTTAAATGTTTCTATAAATACACAGCACAACGTGGTCACATCACAATGTGGTCCCAAGTTCTAATGTTCATTGAAAGTTTGCCAACTGGAACCTTGCTGCTGTGTCTCCACTCTTACAGGGCTACATTCATAGGAAACTAGGACAGCATGTGACTGAAGAACACTCAATGTCTTCAAATTTCAGTATCCGCAGGTCCCCTCATTCCTCAACATTTCCTGACATCATGTCATTATTCTCCATTTTGTTTGTTTTTCTGCAAGATCTCCACTTCTCTAGATATCCTTGCAGCTCCTGCCCTCTCTTCCTTGAAATCTCTACTCAAATGTCATCTTATCTGCCAGTTAATGGTACATTTGTCCAAATTCTTATTTCTACATAATTTAATTATCTTCAAATCATTTGTTACTGAGTGATATGTCACATGATTATTTCTTTATTAGCTCATAGTATCCATCAATAATTCTTCAGTTTTTTAGCTTCTCAGAAACCTGAGTATTCATTACTCATATTGTACATGGAATTTGGTGGACTTTTCATTTATATTATGCAAATGAATTAAAAATTTAGGGAAATTGAGGGAAAGATAGTGAGTGGGAAAGAAATTACCAATTAGACATAACCTGGGAGGGTAGTGTGTGCTAAATGGCAGAAGAATTATATACAAAATAAAAAGAATGTGACAACCGGATATCACATGGCTGACCATGTTTCAAATCCTGGCCCTGGCTGCTGGAAAAAAAACTCTGTGCATAATAAAAATCATGGATGAATGCCAAGACAGAGGAGAAAGAAATGTGGCATGATCATATCCCATTGGGATGTGCTTTTCCTGCCTACTTGTTTTTCTGTCTCATTAGTGAATACATGCACTCTCTGGCAATGAAATGTAAATAATATAATGAATGAACTCATTTATAATATTTATCTTATATCCTCATGCACAATATCTATTCTTCCTTTTTAAAACCAAGAAAACAACAAATAAATTTTAATGAGCATATATATATAGATAGATAAATAGATAGATATCATTTTATTCACTGAAAACAGTAATCATAGCATTTCAACTATGGAAGTTTATTATTATTATTATTATTATTTTGGAGAGGTTTTTGTTATAGGGCTCGTGCACTCACCAGATAGATAGAGAGATGGAAAGCGAGAAATCACCCCCCAAGGGGGATGGCCATGCTGCAATCCCTTCTCCTCCATTCTCCTCTCAGGATCTTGGGCACGCATGCACACGCACCTGGCATGAGTTTTAAGCCACCGGGTCCAGGACGCGAACCGCAGTCAACTACGTGGGAGTCCAGAGACATAGCCATTACACTAACTGCTGGTCCCAGAAGTTATTTTTAAAAATTGTCATCTAATTATTTATTTCAGCATGAATGTATTGTATATTAGTACAAAATTATTAACATATACATTATTATTGCCAGGAAAAGTGAGTACTTTTTGTGAACTATGTGAGTTAACTGAACTATTTTGAATGAAAAATTAGTTGCTTTATTTTTTTTTCCTGCTAGTCACTTCCATCACATGGAACCAAAGAATGATACAAGAATTTCAGATTTTCTTCTTCTGGGACTTTCAGATGAAACGAAATTACAACCCCTCATATTTGGGATTTTCCTCTCCATGTATTTGCTCACCATGATTGGAAATCTGCTCATAATCCTGGCCATCATCTCAGATTCTCACCTGCACACCCCCATGTACTTCTTTCTCTCCAACCTGTCCTTCATAGACATCTGTTTCACCTCCACCACCGTCCCAAAGATGCTGGTGAACATCCAGACACAGAGCAAGGTCATTACCTATGCAGGTTGCATCACCCAGATGTATTTTTTCATGCTCTTCATAATATTAGATGACTTTCTCCTAGCAGTGATGGCCTATGACCGGTATGTGGCCATTGGTCACCCCCTGCACTACATGGTCATTATGAACCCCCAGCTCTGTGTGTTACTAGTTCTTTTGTCCTGGGTCATAAGTTTCCTTACTTCATTATTGCATACTTTAATGACATTACGGCTCTCCTTCTGTGCACCAGTGGAAATCCCCCACTTTTTCTGTGAACTTAATCAGGTGGTCCACCTTGCCTGCTCTGACACCTTTCTGAATGACATGGCGATCTATTTTGGATCTGTGCTGCTGGTTGGTGGTCCCTTCTCTGGGATCCTTTACTCTTACTGTAAGATAGTTTCCTCTATTCATGCAATCTCATCAACTCAGGGGAAGTATAAAGCATTTTCCACCTGTGCCTCTCACCTCTCAGTTGTCTCCTTATTTTATAGTACAATTATACTTGTGTACCTTAGTTCTTCTGTTACTCAAAATTTTGACTCAAGTGCGGCAGCCTCAGTGATGTACACCTTGGTCACACCCATGCTGAATCCCTTCATCTATAGTTTGAGGAACAAAGACGTAAAGACAGCTCTGAAAAGTTTCCTGTGGAGGAAAGGTGGAGGAAAACGATCAATAGATAAACTGTCCTCATAATGAAGAAACATGATTATGGGACCAGCAATTAGGGTAATGGCTATGTCGCTGGACTCCTATGTAGTTGGTCATGGTTCAAGTCCCAGACCCGATGGCTTAAACTTATGCCAGGCGAGTGTGCGTGCATTCCCAAAATCCCAAGAAGAGAATGGAGGAGAAGGGATTGTGGTGTGGCCATCCCCCCTGGGGGGGGATTTCTCTCACTTTCTGTCTCTCTGTCTTCCTGGTGAGCACACATGCCCTATAGAAAAAAAAAGAAAAGAAAAGAAGAAAGAAGAAAGAAAGAAAGAAAGAAAGAAAGAAAGAAAGAAAGAAAGAAAGAAAGAAAGAAAAAGAAAGAAAGAAAGAAAGAAAGAAAGAAAGAAAGAAAGAAAGAAAGAAAGAAAGAAAGAAAGAAAGAAAGAAAGTTGTTAGCAGGATTCAAGACATCAGGTAATAAGGTAATAATGGTGAAAATTGTCCAGATTCTAGAAGTAGATATTTTTTCTATTTGATTATATCCTGGATTACCCATGACTTTGTTTTCAACTTATCTATACAATATAAATACCTCACTTTTGCACTCTGATATCTAGACAGATTTTTCTCTGTTCATTTTTGTATTTTCACAAGGTTATCTCAACCACAGATCAGAAATATTTGGAAATCCCTGTTAATTTCATGGAGCACCATAAATATATTAAAAAATATTTTTCTGCAAAGACATATGCTTAATAAGTTTTTCTTTCTTCTATTAAAATATAATATGCTCTGGACCAGCAGTTAGCATAGTGGATATGTCGCTGGACTCACATATAGTTGACCACGGTTAGAGTCTCAGACCCAGTAGCTTGAAAACTCATGCTGGGCACATGTGCGTACATGCCCAAGATCTTGAGAAGAGAATGGAGGAGAAGGGATTGCAGTGTGACCATCCTCCCTGGGGGGTTATTTCTCACTTTCTGTCTCTCTGTCTCTGTCTTTCTGGCAAGAGCACAAACTCTGTAGCAAAAACCTCTCCAATCAATCAATCAATCAATCAATCAATCAATAAAATGCTGTACATTATTTACAGGAACAAAATAACTACACATGGTTGCTAAGGTCAATAATATAATTCAGGGGTCAGCTGGTGGCATAGTAGTTAGGGTGCTTATTTCCACATGACAAATCATGGTTCAAGTCCTGTAACTGGCAGCTTGAAAATCTTGCTGGGCATGCTTGTATGTGCGCCCAGAATCCTAAAAGGACAATGGAGGAGAAGGGATTGCATCATGGCCATCCCACATCTATAGTGATTTATTGCTTTCCTTCTCATTGTATCTTTCTCTCTTTCTCTCTGGTGAATATACATACCCTACAGCAGAAACCTTCAGCAGCAAAAATATTCAATAGAAAAAATTCTGATACCATATTTTGAAAGTTTTCTGTTCATTATTCCATAACATGTGACTTCCTTAACTGTTCTTTATGAAAACCTATCGCAAAAACTGTAGTCAATAATTTGTCATTGGGTTTTATTCTCATCTCTAAGATCCTATCTCTTCCCTAGCTTGGCACCTGCTGGGCTTTCACAGTCACTGTAAATAAGTCATTACTATCTACATGTCTCCAAGTGGAATCTGGTTGGAAAGATACCTTTCAATAAATGATTTGACTTTTTATGGCCTTAATGTCAGAGATTAATTTAAATAAGATGCCCCAAATTGCAAGCTATGAATTGCACTACTATGAAAATTATTTCTGTTTAATTTTCTATGTCTTCTTAGTTATGTTTAAAAAATTGGTGTTCAGGTATAAAGGGTATTATTCATTTTGGTGAAGGCTGGCTTGGTTTGATTTATGCTTTATTATTAAAATATCATCCTACTTCATATTGAAAATTTCCTGTATGCCTAAATATACAAAATAAGACCAATGAGAATTTGGCATTTGATAGAAAGTATACAAATATGGAAGATTTACTGCTAAATGAAGCAAACTAGACTAATCTGTTTCTCTAAATGAAATATAGCCACCTTTTCTAAGCCTTGTCACAATCATCAAAGGGGCAGTGAATGGCTATTGTCAATATTGTCTATATTATATCTCCTTCATGTGTAGATATCATTTTAATCTTCATGATTAAAGCATCACTCACAAGTAACCTTGGATATCTGTGTAGTCATGTATTTCTGGTCCCAAGTATTTCTGCACAAACAGGCATCTTTCTAAACTCTCTTGGTTTTCTTTATTAGTTACTTTCTAACACAATCTTCTCAAACAATTGAATAACAAAATAATCATGAATGCAGTCTTCAAAGATCAGAAAAAAATATTGAAACTAGAAAGTCGAAGATTATTATAATTGCCCTTCATTCTCTTCACTTTGTTATTGTATTAGTTAGTTACTACTGCATAACAAGCCATCCTAAAAGAAAATGGTTTCATATAATACATGTGTTAGCTAATGTTATTACATTAGAAGCAGAATCTCTCAGTTTTCTGATCTCCTCAAGAACCTGCAGCTATCTGTGAGTCAAATGAGGAGGTACAGCTGATGTTAGCTGAGATGTCTCATCTATTGAGAACTTGGCTGGCCGTTGTCTGCTCTAGGTGGAGTGTTGATTAACACAGCTAGATCTTTCCACATTTTCTCTCCTCCTGTAGCTGATATTCTGGATTTGTTCAAATGGCTGAGGAAGGGTTCCACAAAATCGCAGAAATGGACCATTGTGAATCATTGTAAATATCAACATATTCGAATGGTTGAAGCAAATTAAAGCTTCTACATCTGGTTCAAGCCTTAAAGGATTAGCCTTTGCCCTCAGTGGCTGAATAATCTTAGAGAAATAAATGTTAATGAAGCCCTTATGGATATTCTATCTCAGTGGTTCAACCCTCACCTCCCTCCCAGAGGTAAATATTCCTTATTTGTCTCTCACTTCCAACTCCCTGTCCCTATCTAAGAAAGAAATCATCTCTGTTTCTTCAAATAATGGATCCAGTGTTGGAACCTCATATCTAAATATTTGATTAACAGACTAGCTACAAACTGTTTTTCATGTTGTCCTTATCCCTGCATATATCACTTGTCTTGTGATGGAATTTCTTTTTCCATAAGGCTCCCACCTTTGTACTAGTATTTATTAAGAACTTATATTAGAAGAGGTGGCAAGTGAAATGCAAATAAACAACAGAGATAGAAGAACTTGAAATAAGATGGATAATTAAGGTGTAAGTCTATTGTTGATGCCCTGAATGTAAGGCTTGAGAAGAGATGGGAGTCACGAGAGACATCAAGATACTTTGGTGTACCTAGTCTCCTCCCTTATTACCATACACATTATTATCAACAGATAATTTTCATTTTTGTGTCCCTTAAAAGTTTTGCTCCCTTTTTTCCATTTGATTCCTTCCCTTCCACTAGCATTCCATTTCTCATCCTCCTCCCTCCCTGTCTCTAGTATCCACAGTTACTCTCTACGGTTTTATACTTTCCAATCTTTCGGTTTTTGTAAATGTAGACATTCAATATATAGTAAGTGATGACATACAAGGCCTCTCTTTCAGACTCTGGGATATTCCTTGTGGGTAGTTTTTTGTTTACTGAGTCAATTATTTTAACACTTGTAAAATAATTCAGATTTATATTCTTTTTTTTTTCTTAAGAAAGATTTTTGTATAGGGCACATGGACTTGTGGAGAAACAGATTAAGAGAAATAAAAAGTGAGAGATCATCCCCCAGGAGAGATGGCCACACCACAGTCCCTTCTCCTCCATTGTCCTCTTTGATATTGGACAAACACACATACACACACACACACACACACACACACACACACACAGAGTATAAAATTTAACCCAGTAGGGAAATGTGTGTGTGCATGTGCCCAAGACTCAAACCACAGTTGACCTTGTGGGAATCCAGTGATGTTACGCTTATGCCATCCATCTACTCGATTCCAGATTTCCATTATTATTTTCTCTTTTGTTAAATTTAAAGCAATTAAATGTTTTTTTCAGAGTTTTTCCTATTCATCTAAGTTTTCCAATATTGGCAAAAAATTATTTGTGATCTTCTTTTACATACTTCATGTCTGTACTATATATAGTGATATTTTCTTTTGTATTCATGAAGATTGATAGTCTCTTATCAGTCTTGCAAAGAGAAAGAGAGACCAGTGGTACTGTAAACACTCATGATCAGCTAAAAAAGCCACAACAGATGAAAACATATTTTCGGGGAACCAGCAGTTAGCGTAATGGCTATGTCGCTGGACTCCCACATAGTCAACTGTGGTTCATGTCCCGGACCCGGTGGCTTAAAACTCACACTGGGCGCCTGTGCATGCGTGCCCAAGATCCCGAGAGAAGAATAGAGGAGAAGGGATTACGGCATGACCATCCCCCCTGGGGGGTGATTTCTCGCTTTCTGTCTCTATGTCTCTCTCTGTCTGTCTGGCGAGCGCATGCGCCCTATAGCGAAAACCTCTCAAAAAAAATAAAAACTTATATTTTCGAGAGGAGCAGTTAACATAGTTATATAAATGTGAAGGATGGCTGCAAAAGTAAAATACTATGATTCCAGATATTTATTGACAATAAAATTATATCAACAACATTAGAGTTGCCTAGTGTAGTTTATTCCATAGACCTAAGACAACTCATCAAAACACAGGTTGAGTGCCAGCCAAGCTGTGGAGTTGTTAAAGGAGCTAGATCCCACATGGTCAACTGCTTTGTTTGAGTCACAAACCTGGTGGTTTGCAAAACACCCCTGGGGCACATGTGCATGCATGCTCAAAATCCTAAAAAAAGAATAAAGGAGAAGGGTTTGTGGCATGGCCATTCTTCCTGGAAATGCTTCCTCGCTTTCCATCTTTGTCTCTGCCTCTCTCCAGTGAGCACATACAACTTACATTTTTTTTTTACTTTCATGTTTATATATTTATTTCTTGTTGGTGGGAATGTAAATTAGTGCTGCCACTGTGGAGAACAATATAGATTTCTTAAAGACCTAAAAGTAGAAGTACCATTT